CGTACTTTTACGCCAACAACTCGGACAAGATCAAGTCGCCCGTGGCGTCACTGAAGTTCAGAAGTGATTCAGGTCCGGTTGAGGTCAATGACCTGCAAGTTCCTATTGACGTCATGATGCCGCAGAAACCAGGTACTGTGGTGGTGCAGACAGAGCGCGGGGAGACCTCGCCGACTGGACAGGACGTCATGTCGGTGAGAAAATACTTGTATTACTGTAACTGCAGTACATATATCTTCATTCACTGTAAGAGCATTTACATTACACAATTAAATTAAATGCATTTTCAGGAGAGTCCCGTATGAAAACTTTCGCAGTCATTACAGATCTTCAAACCTTCTTGGTAGTCTATTCTTTCAAAGTTTGCTTGAGACTTCCACGGTATTACAATCCATTACGACGAAAGTGACCATGATGTTCTTTCTGCAACTCTCATGATTGAAATTTAACCTGCCTAGACTGAGCTTTTTCAAGGGATCCGTGGGAATATTTGCTAACAATATTTTAGGGAAGTTTGGTTTCCCTAACGTAAGCCGTTCTGATGCTATCTGACATCAAGTTGGCGATGGCACTTTTACCCCCCACCCCCACCAGTCTAGATAGTGTTAAGTCTCACATGCGACCAGCGACATGTACGAGGGTGGATCAAAAAGTTATCGGCCTCACCTAGAAAACGTCGTGGCAGAAAAAAATTTCTTACACTATGTTTCAACATAGTCCCCTCTAACTGCAATGCACTTGGTCCAGTGATGTTCCGGGTTTGTTTTCCCCTTGTGGAAGAAGGTTGAATCTGGAGCCCCCAGATAGGGCTCACCCGCACTGATGACGTCATCATTACCATAAAAACGTTGACCACGTAAGTGGAACGTCAGTTTAGGAAATAGGTAGAAGTCCGAGGGTGCTAGGTCAGGTGAATTGGAAGGGTGGGGTTAGACTTCAAAGCCAAATTCGTTTGCTGCTGTCACTGACCCCTATGCTGTGTGGACAGGTGCATTGTCATCACGCCAGCTCGGTGCTTTCCTCTCCTTATCTCTTTGATCGTTGTCCTCAACTGTTGCTATTCTGTTAAATAGTACTCCCCATTGATGTTTTAACCTATTCACAGGTATTCAGTCATGATTACTCCCTTGCTGTCCCAGAAAACAGAGACAAAACCCCTGTCAACGGATGAAACTCGATAAAACTTCTTGGGGGCCGGGAAACATTCTTCATTCATTGTTTGTTCTGTTGTTTTGATTTGGGGTGAAAGTGGTGAAATCATGTCTCATCTTGGGTGAAAAATATTTTGAGGTAATTGCATGGATTGGACTGAATTCGTTCCTTGAAATGTCCAGCTTGTTTAACTTCTGATGTTCAGAAAACATTCTAGGCACCCACCTTACAGACAGGTTGCTCATCCCCAGGATGTCTGACAAAACATTGTGAACAGAGCCACAACACAGGCTAAAGACTCTGCTACATGTTGGACAGTCTCACATCTGTCATTTACTACCATGTGATGGATGGCCTCAACTGGATTGTCCATGGTGCTGATTTGTGGCATCCTGACATATGTTCATTTTTGGTTCTCACCTTGCAGCGCTTGTAGCTAGCAACCCACTTCTTTATAGTTGAATAAGAAGGAGAGTCATCACCAAGTGTCCTGACCATGTTTTCATGGATTTCCTTACGAGAAATCCCTCTTTATCGATATACATGATCACAGCACACGCTTCTGTTGCGGCCATTTTGTGATTTTGCCCTCACCCGCCCCATTTTCACGGGGCGTCACGTGCTAACTAATGAATACAGAAATTTGAATTTTTGTGTGCAGTGATGTAAGACATCATAGTATACAGTTATACTAAAGAATAGGAGTTTGCCCTTTATTTTCTAGGTGAGGCCGAGAACTTTTTGATCCACCCTCGTACATGGACTAAGAACATTAACATCAACTTTAACAGTTTCGCTGCTGATCAGCGGAAACTGACATCAACGTCAGCATTTAAAAACAGACTCTAGATACTGTGCCTGTACTGTAACTGAGTTGTACATGTATATAATGTTGTGTTCAATTTGTAACTTCAAGTTATGAATGTATGTTTTGATGTATTTGCCCAGGGGTACCTGAAAATCAGATCAATGGATCTGAGGTATGCCCTAGTAAAATAAAGAAAACTTGAAACTTGAAACATGTATTTTCAGGTACATAACTTCACCATTACTGAAGGTGCCAGCTCCGTCCATGTCACCGTCACACCTGACGTGGAAGGAATACCACTCCGTTTGTTTCTCGGTATCAACAGCGCCCCCTCCCGAAAGGTATTTCGCAAGGCAATGTCCATGCCGTCGGCGGTCGGTTCACTGTACTCCATTCCATTAGGAAACAACTCTTACCTTCGACCAGATCCTTTCCAGTGGCTGCTGCCTGCTAGTGACTTGGGACTTACCGGCTCCGAGCAACTTTTTCTTGGTAAATAACAAGTATATCCTTTTGAGGCCGACGCCCATTTTCATCTCGCATAGCGCCTGAACGGCTTGCACTAGAACCGTCAAATTTGGTGACTTCTCCTAAAATTTATTTAAATAGAGTTAAGTCTAGTCTTTTTGACCTAGCAGTGCTGCAAAAATACAATATTGCGTTGCAAGAATTTAGGGTACAAGATAAATGTTAACATTGGAAATAACAGTTGACATGTCTTTCCAGTGGTAACAATTTATTATTGTATTATTACTGTACTTTTATTAGCTTCTTTTAATTTCTAGGTACCTTTGCAAGCCTCACCCCACCCGAGCCAACCTCAACCCCATTTATGTGTTGATACTGTAATAATCATGAATTGATATGCATACATAGTAACCTTGATCCGTCGTGTAATTATCATAATATTACATTCAAAATAAAGACATAGTCAAGGAATTTTTTTTCATCTGATCACAAAATTGTTCTTTTTCTAATCGCAAGTACAGCCGGCTTTGTGATAATGGCATGCTCTTCATATCTTTACTTTCCCCCTTTCAGGAGAGATAACATATGTTTAATAGGGTTTCTTCTTTACTTAAGGCGTGGACCACGAGCCTTTTACAGATGACATCGACACCAACGATGACACAGTGATTTGGGGTGATTTGTCAAAAGCGTTGGAACTGGGATATGGTGGAGTAAACTTCACCATGAACTACACACTCCAGATCTTCACCTCCGCCTGTCTTTTCTTCGACAACGATCAACAACTGTGGAGTACCGAGGGATGTGAGGTACGCATGTGGTACTAATCATCAACAAAATATTCTAATGTTCGCAATAATTTAATATATCATATTAAAAGCAATGTTATCATCAACGTTACACAACAGCTGTTGATAGACAACAGACACGCCACGGGTGTGTCGAATCATTTTATTTCGTTAGGCCACAACACATAAATTTTATGGATGACATCCACGCCCGCATTAATTTTCGTCTGATTTTGAAAAAAAAAACAAGAAAATGTGTTGCCTTCTGACATTAGTCAACATGCCGAAAATGGGCAAAGGTGTCTGTTGCCATGCCGAAAGGTGGATGGCAGAGAGGAGACAAGAAAAGGCTCTGATTTAATGTTTTGTTTCTTACTTTGATGCAGTGATATGTGATGCTGGCTGCGTATATGTGATGTTCCTACTGAATCAAAACCATTTGTACAATGATTAAGTCAAAATTTTACATTGTAGGAGCCTTGTTTTTTTCGGCCCACCTTGTTTTTTTTTCGCCCGCTCGCAGTAGACTTGGAGGATGCCATCCATAAAATTTACTTGCTGTAGCCTTACCTGGAAATACAGATACGAAGAAAACAAATCATAGATTTAAAAGCTAAGCCATATACCTAAGAACTAAGAAATAATTCAAATTCACCGCGAGTTGCGGCTACGAACATACAAACATGACCGGAAACAACACCTTCCCAATCTTCTTTCAAAAAAAAAATTGAGAACAAACGGGTCAGCATATCAGAGTAAACGTTCGTAAAACACGTCCTCTGTCAGCTTAAAGAGGTTATGAGGAGCAGATCGTTTGATTGGCTATAAGTAATTAAGTAGTAGGCTTGTAGTCACGAGGGCCAACAAGGAGGCTACGTCACCATCATAGAAACTACTTTTAGTCACCATGCATCAGTTACTGACGGTGGATAGCTAAGTTATCGTTTATCTCTTTTATATTATCCTCTAGGTTGGTTCATTGACGACCACTACATTGACCCACTGCCTGTGTGACCATCTCACCGCGTTCGGCTCCGACTTCCAGTTCTTCGTGGCGCCGAACTCCCTGAACATCCTGGAGGCTCTGGAAGGGTTTACAAACATCATGGACAACCCGTCGGTTGTCATCACCATCGGAGTCCTGTTTGGACTTTATCTTCTGATTGTGATATGGGCAAGAAGGGAGGACAAAAAAGATGGACTAAAGGTAAAGGGCATTCTTGACAACCACAGCTTAAAAGATTAAGAGTAAAACTAGAAAAGCCGACATTTGCTTGGGAGCAAATGCAGCAGATGGCTTCACCACATCCCCCGTTCCAAAAATGGATCTATAAAACAATGGCTGCCAATAGTGTATACATCTCCCCCAATGGAATCTGGAATCTAACCCAAAAATGGCAGAGATGAATCCATTTAAAGAAATGGCAGAAGGAGAAGAAGGAGAAGGAGAAGGAGAAACACGAGGGAACACAATATGTCTTCACCACTTTGTGGTGAAGCCATAATAAGCAGCTCAAAAGAAAGAAAATAATTTAAGTGCTCCCCGATAAGCTAGTTCTCGCAAATTAAATACAGTGTGTCCGAAAGGTGTCCGAGAGGACACCTGTCGGAATTGGATACCTTAGAACTGCCACGTCCATTTTTATATAGTTACGACCCTGCCCCAGGAGGACAACTGCCTTCCCCAACAAGAGGACACTTTTTTTGTTCGAACTCCACCATGCCATCGATCTTGTGCCCTTTGGAAAGGCACTTTACACGACTTCCTTTACTTCACTCAGGTGAAAATGAGTGTGCCAGAATGATCGATTATCATGGTGGTGGGCATTGAAAAGAAAACCAAACCAAACAAACATTGATGATTCTAGCTTAGTTCGTTATAGTTAGAGTAAAACAATACCTGATCCAGCTGATTCTTTTTGTTGATGAATGATTTTACTGTACTCATAGCTAAGTTTCCTATGCGTACATTTTTTTTCTCTCATTACAGGTGGGTGCTACAGTGTTGGAAGGGTCGAATCGAGGCAGACATACATACGAAGTTATGGTTTACACCGGGACCCGAGCCAACGCTGGGACCAGTGCAGAGGTAGGGCATAAGTGTTTATAATGTATTGATCTGAGCGTAGTAACAATTAAAACATTGGCGCAGTCATTATCCAAAAAGCAGATAAAGAATAATAAAGAGGTTGTAAAGCGAACATATGTCAGGTTGCAGATTGCAATCTATCAGAATATGGCGACCAGGATATGTGCCACTAGAATTACTGACAATACTTCTAAGTAGAAAGCCCCGACCGATTTTTTTGGCGACGTTTAAGGAAGGAGCCTAATGGTACAGAATTGTGTGCAATTCGCAAGAATTCTAGGAATTGTACAGGCATTTTGTCTACAGGCAGGCAATATCCACAGGGATGTCTCCCAGCTCGCCATCGCAATGTTTGTTTTCATTGCCAGTCTTGTCTGAACATTGGGATATTCGTTTCATGTCACCTTTAAGACCAATGGCTGATCGAGATGTACAAAAGGAGGACCATCCCTACACAATTTAACATCTTGATCGTGATCTCTGTCGACCCAGACTCAGATTGGAATCTCTACTTGAAGGATCTGCTATTCTTCAAGATTGTATTCGCTACACTGATATCTGTATGTCCATGTCCCGCAGGTGTTCCTGGTGCTTAGAGGAGAGTTGGGTCAGTCTGTTCCGTATGTGTTGGAAGACAAAACCCGCATTACGTTCAAGCAAGGCGCTGTAGACACGTTTGTGGTGACGTCAGACTTTCATCTGGGTCCAATATATGCCATCCATATTTGGCACAATAACATCGGCCCTGACCCGTCTTGGTAAGGGTTTTCTCTCGCCGAGTTATAGCATTTCATACTGAATGTTTTGGTTTTATGGCATTCGAACTATATTGGTTCTGTAGATATTCTATTTTATGATAGCTTAGAAAGTGTCAAATTTGAATGTGCTCTTGGAAAGGAACTTAAAGTCGGTTTGAAGTATTTTCATGCAATGGTACAAATGTGGAAATATTATTGTCAATTTCCAATGAGTATGTCATGAATGACATAGGTATCTTGACCAAGTCATCATTACTGACGTCCAAGATGATGATAAGCACACGTTCCTGTGCAAAAGGTGAGTTTGCCGGTGTGTTTTTAGCCTAGGATACAAAAAACCACATTTTCTATTCTGTAACATAATTTATTGTTCAAACTTGCAGTCCTAATCGGGTTTGAATTTCAAATCCATATAAATATATGAACGACATTAAAACGACATATCATATGAGAAAACTTTCTTGCACGACAATTGCACATCGTACAATGTATGGCAAACAACATAAAGAGAGTAACAAACAATAAAATAAATGTGTTGAGTAAGACCTAATGACGAATAAAACCTAACATATCTATACCATAATAAGGGATAGCACAAGTCTTCGATAAAGTGTTACAGTCGAGTGGGCATATCAACGGAGGCGTTCGAATGAGTCTTTTTAATGTTTGAAGATGATTTTACAATACACATAGCTTGTTTCATCAAGTAGGTCTGTACTTCGTATTGCCTCTGTCTGTTTCCCATATAATATTTTTTGCATAATGATATGATTGGTGACCTTGTTTTCCATTATATAATAATATAACAGCTGGCTGGCAGTAGAAGAGGGAGACGGGAAAGTGGACCGTGTGCTGTATAAGGCAAGTCACGACGATCTGATCCGCTTCGGTCGTCTTTTCTCCACTAAAACTTCCAAGGACTTCCGAGATGAACATCTGTGGTTTTCCGTGATTGGTCGGCCAGCAACAAGGTAGGAGTTCATTCATCATGAACCTTCAAGTTGGTTGACGTACATTCGATCTATAGCTATGTATACTGCTACTTCTACTACTACAACAACTGTGCAGTTACTATTACCACTACTGCTACTACTACTACTACTACTACAACTGCACAGTTACTGTTACTGCTACTACTTCTACTACAACAACTGTACAGTTACTACTACTACTACTACTACTACTTCTACTACTACAACTGTACCATTACTACTAATACTACTTCTACTACTACAACTTTACAGCTATATATACTGCTACAACCACTTCTACTACTATCACTACTATTACTACCACAACTTGGAGGATTATATACTTTTATGAACAATCGTTGATTGACCTCTCCTAGTAACTTGTACCAATATGTTCATAACTGTATGCTGTATATATGCTCATATAACATACAAAGGATATGACGATGTTTTTGGAGATAAGGTAAATGATAGCAGCTTGCATAAGTGTATTTAGAACTGTTAGAGCAATTATAATTGCCTCTCTCTCTCTCTTTCTCTCACTCTCACACTCTCTCTCTCTTTCTTTCTCTCTCTCACTCTCCTACGATGGATACGATGGAATTAATAATGATCTGGGTTTTTTTCAGTCCCTTTACCCGAGTGCAGCGCGTCTCCTGCTGCCTGTCTCTGCTGATGTGTACGATGCTCACCAACATCATGTTCTTCGGCCGGGGTGACGCTTACCAGAAGCCAGCTCCAGTCTACATCCTGGGGTTCCAAGTACAGTTTCCCATCTCCTGGGGCGAGGTACGAGCTGCACTAGCCTGACTAAGCCACCCCACTAGCAACAGCTTTTGACGCCGTTCAAAGTTAAAACTCTTGATCCAACACAAGGGACATGTTCTCCCCTAAGGCGTTTGATTACGTCTACAAATATTCATTTTTCCCTTGCACTATCCGACAATAGAAGAGCCCCGGCAAAGATGAAAATGAAGATCATTCACTCTGGTCTTCTTCAAAATACTGATCCATTGAGTTCTGGCTCGCGGGAGAAAGTTCTAGCTAAAAGCAATCAATGGTGTCGAATAAAAAAAATACCTTTTTCATGTAACTACCAAGTCACTAACAGCACAGATCGTTACCGCCAACATGACAGATCGTTACCACCAACACGTGTTATCCAAAGTATGTTTGTAATCATAGTGTTGGAAGCTGTATTTTTTTCATATATATCAGAGAATCCTGAGCTCCTGTTGATGCTTTAGTCAGAATTCTCTATAACAGCATTTTGAGAGATCGTTAATATTGCTAATGACCATACATATCAATCTGTAGTACGATCTCACGCCGGGTCCTTCTATGTTACAGATAATAATCGGTATCCAGAGTGCTCTGATGGTGATCCCCGTGAATCTGATCATTGTCCAGATTTTCCGGAATTGTGCGGCCAGACCTCCTAGGAAAATCAGCACTGGTAACGTTACCTTTCTAATTATTTTCTATCTCCTAGGTAAGTCTGCATACTCATTACCGACTATATTATTATTAAGTCTGCTTCGTGCTGCATAAAAGTCACATGGGAGGGCTTTGCTCCTTCCAGCTCTTGGAACCATTTGTAAGTCATTATCCTAAAGATTGAATATACAAAATTCGGAATCGATGCTCTTCATGCACATGGGGTATACGATGACAGTCATCATTATAATTAAAACATATAAAGGGACTTTGATTGTTATCTCAGCACTACCAAGTGCCTGTCCTTGCCTAGTCCTGAGCTAGGAGTGTCAAAATGTGACACCGGTGGACAAAACCACAAAGGAGCAAGAGGCTGCAAGAGTCTGATACCGAAGTCTCTTATAGTCCAAACCCATTAAATATGAGGTCCTCGTATTTGATGGGTTTGGACTATAAAAGACTTTGGTATCAGACTCTTGCAGCCTCTTGCTCCGTTGTGGTTTTGTCCACCGGTGTCACATTTTGACACTCCTAGCACGTATTTCAACTGCTCCTTCCCCTGCTATCATGGTCCTTTGTAGCCTAGTTACCAAACCTATTATACATGTGGCTCCCGAGGCCTACAGCAAGCGCAAAGAGAATGTGCAAGTGTGCAATGAATGGATGAATGGATCGTTTCCTATATGCTTAATTTGCGTCCAATATAACCAAGACTGGAAACAAGAATGAAAACAAACATTGCCATTGCGGCGGTGGTTGCTGTTAGGGTTATTGTTTGCATGACTTTCAGGAAGACTTGGTACCTAGACAGATACAGTGCACTGAGTGTATTGTGAACGAGCCCCGGGGTCACAGAAAGTAGGGCATCCGGCATCCGGGGCAGAGAGGTTCCAAAAGGTTTCCAGGAATGTGGGCATAGGATGTGAGTCAGAGACATGCCTGTTGACACTCCATTCCTGTGGACAAAATAAATGCCTGTACAATTCCTAGAATTCTTGAGAATTGCACTCAATACTGTACCACTAGGCTCCTCCCTGAGACGTCGCCAATAAAACACAGGCATATAAAATACAAATGACGCCCGGGACGTATTACGATCAAACACATTTTACAGTTGGTGTGCGGGGCGTGTCGAGGAGGGATCCTGGCGGCACACCCTCCCCAGTCATGTCCTTCAGCCGGGACGACCCTGCCTTCGCTCGCAGGTCAGGAGTCTACTCAGTGTCCTCGTCGACAGAAGGCGAGAACGCACGCACCACTACTGACGGCGGTTTAACAGTACAAACAGTCGTTTCAGTAGAAGAAGTTGAACCCCCGGAAGATACCGTCAGCAGTAGAGAAGAGGAAAGATACGACGCCTTAGGTTTATATGACTTTTCTGTGGTTACCTATAGTAAAACTCATGGGTATTCGTTACTCGTTATTTAATAACCCCCAAGCAGATATTTTCGTGACTGCTGAGACAGGATCAAATTGTTCCGGTAGTGTCCAGGTGCCAGACAATTTGCCGATATCGCCCCTCAGGGTGAAGATTGTTTCATCTCGAATTTTCCATTTTATGACGACATGAGAAAACAATCATTTACCACCGTGTCCAAAATGCTCATGTACTTCCCCACCATTCCCTACACGTAAAACAATTTAACTACTAATATCAAAGAACCCACATATTATTGAAGAAGTGGGTAAATTCGTTCTCCATTGCCTAAAAAGAAGAAGCCAAACCCAGTAAAAGCTAGTATTATTTATATTGTAGAACAGATTATAACATTAGACGTAGATATAGATTCACACACCTTTGTATTTTCTTTTTTATGTTGTTTGTAACTCAGGCATGTATTGATTTTACAAAAAACTTTGTTATCTTCATACTTTGCATAACCCGACCGAGTTTAGTAGTTAAAGTGTTGAAAATCTATATCGTATAATAGAAATAAATCTTGTTCTTGGTGATGATGCAGTTCTTAAAAATGCCCTACATCTTCTTTAAAAATAGGCAATGTTTTATCAATCTTCTGCAAGTACTTTTTTTGGTTTTCTTAGCAATTATATCATTCATTCTTGTATTACAGTGATGAAAAGTGACCTTTCCGTGAAAGTCGATCAACTGGCGAAGAATAAAAAGAGAAAGAAGCGTCTTTTACCATGGTGGTGTGTCTTCTTTGGTAAGAATTTGGTCATTATTAGTGTGTCAAGCTTGTCTGAAACAGTGATAATTGTAAGTTCACAAGTACCTTACATCCGCAGTCAAGGACTATATCTATGATAACTAGAGTTCCCGAGCTCATTCCTTCGCCAGATGATAGTAATCTTTATGACTGACAATTCGTAGATTATTCCCCCTGATTGTGAAAATAGGATGCTCATTATCATGAATTAAATCAATTTATCATATACCCAACCAAAGGACAGTCTTATATAAACGAACAATGCCATTCTAGCATTTCCTTATAAATTTTGCAAATAAGGCCCTGGTTTGAAGACATTGTGTTTAGTGTTTACTGAACTTTCAAATGCAACAAGTATGAAATTCAAGGCAGTTTTATCTTTTAGTATTCCAAAAATAAATAAAAAAAGAACTTATAAAAAATAAAGATAAAAAACTACAGGCAGTTACAATTACATAATTGTAAAATTTTCTCATTAATTATACAAGTTAAGTCTTCATTTACACAATTATTTTTTGCCTGTGTATGTCTCGTTTAACTTTTTTTGTATAAAATGCAGCATGGCTCCTTGTGCTGGGTACCTGCGTCGTATCCTCGTTCTTCACCATGTTGTACGGGTTCGAGTACGGACGGAAGAAGGCAGAGGCCTGGGTTCTCACGTTCCTTACGTCCTTTGTCTTCGACCTGGCCATCTCTCAACCACTCAAGATCATCCTGCTAGGTTTCTTCTTCGCGTTGCTAATAAAAGTAAAACATTATCGCATTATCATAAAACTAACCACCACTTGAATTATAAAGTTGATGGAGACTGAGCGATTCAGCTTTTCAATTTCTGATGAGTTAATTTCTTTTTGAGTTGGAGAACAGTTTAATTTTTTTCACATAAAACTAACCATGTTTAACAGAATCCATTTGCCATTTGCAGTACGATGAAACAGTGACGTCTATAGCTGGGGCAAAGCAAGTCAGAACTATGTGCCATTTAGGGACTTGGAATTGTAAATGCAACCAATGCACAGAATTATATATTTGATCACACCTGGCAATGAAAACATACATTGCCATAGATAGGGTAGTGGAAAGGGTGATGTTAGGGTTATTGTTTGCATGGCACTGCCATATTATCATGATTTTGAGAAAACCGTGATACCCTACCCTTCCCGGGTATATAGTAAACGAGCCCCCGGGTCACAGAAAGGTCATGTAGGGAATCAGGCAGACAGGTTCTTCCAAGGGTTTCCAGGAATTCGGGCATGTCAACAACCAGAGCTGGGAGAGATTCCTGTGGACATTCCATGCCTGTGGACAAAATGCCTGTACCATTCCTAGAATTCTTGCAAACTGCACACAATGCTGTATCATAAGGCTCCTCCTTGGTACGTTGCCAAAAATGCGTCGAGATTAAGGGAACGAAACTTTCACGTAAGCGTTAACATGTGAGTAAAGGGCGAATTCTGTGCATTGTGACCATTTCTTGTAGGAATACAATCTGAGACTTAATCGATCAAACTTTATTGCATAATACCCAAAATTTACATAGTCAGGAGGGAGGGGGGCATTCTCCCTAAATTTTGTTACAAAATTTTCAAAAAACAATAACACAGACAGTAACACAGAGATTACGAGATGACACAATTTTACACTTCTGTGATAATAGCGTCATGACCCACAACTATGCATGTTATTATAGAGTATGATGGTATATAGTTCGATCACTGGCAGAGTCAGCCATTGTTAATTTGTGTCTTTCACTCTTTTTACGGTGTTACACAGTTTCAGCATTAATTTTTTCAACGTTTTTATGATTTGTTGTCTTTTTTATCATACATCTCGTTCCACAAGACTGCCCATCCGGGCCCCGGTTTGGAAATGTTACCTCAGCACAAATAGCGGAGTTTTATGCTTACGATTGCCTTGTATCATTTTCTTTTTATTACCAAAGAAGCCTGATTCCCTGGAGGACGATCTCTCCCCATCCCAGCTGCGTGATGATGAGGTGTTTCTTGGACTACAGGATGAACATGTTGGTTTATAATCATTTGTTACTTCCTCTTCTTATTTTATATTCATTATGATCACATACTATGGTTGCACCACTTCAATATTTTCAATTTCAACATTTCTCACAAGAAATGGCAACGGCATGCCCAAGTTTGTTCACCTTTTTTTGCTGCTCTCAACGCAAGCACAAGGGCAATGGACATAGTCTTTGCCCAGGGCAAAAGATTGGTGGCGTGGTAGGATTCGAACTCGAGACCTCTTGGTTTCAAGTCGAACGCCCTGTCAAATCCACGATCTCAATTTCATATGAATTATTTAACCAAGTGGGACTAGTAGAAGAAGAATTGAAGAACTTTATTAATCTAGTAATATTTATTGAACGACGGATGGAATACGTATGAACTTTAACAATCATTGAATGAATTTCTATTGTCTATAAAGTCTTCTGATCCCCATTTGCACCATGGAGGATTTACAAGTACAATACATTAAAAACGCAATGTGCTTATTACCATTATCAGGCTATGCAAGCACACACAGAAAATACAAGTATGTATGCATCAGTAAGCATTTTTTCCCTTTCCCTGCGCTTACAATTAGACATTTTTGTTTCAGACTAAACACAAATCCAAGAAGAAACATAAACCGACTGGACCTCCAGGAAAAGACAGACTTGCGGTTGCGAGAGAACAGCGGTTCATAGAACTGGGTCTGAGAGATGCGTGTTACGACTTTGTGTTCTACACCAGCTACATCATTCTTTTACTAGTCATAGCGAACGGGAGCAGAGACAGTTCCATGTATCACATGAACACCCACCTCTACAATACAATTGTTAATCCCTTTGCAAAGGTAAGAGTCTTTGTATGAGTTTTTTTTTAATCTTGATTTGTGTTTTTATTATAATAATACATGTTGACTTGTTATAGAAAATCACTAGAAAGTACAAATTGATACAGACATGTTTTGGCGTTGCTTGTTAAATTCTCTCGTCAATCATCAGGCTCGTTGGAACGTAATTATGTTTACCGAAGGGAAACATATTGTTTTTACTCAGTTTCTTCCGCTTCTTCTTCTTCTTCTCCAAACAGTGACCTGTGACCTGACCAATGACATGATTTGTTGATGTCTGTCACCAGGGTGACAGGTGTTGGGTTACATAATGTTGCAATTTTATGGTCTGCTCTGCTCCTTTTACCATACACTAGTAGTACATGTATGTGAATGTGTTTGAGTAAGAATTAACAGAGCAGACCATTTCCGAAGGTAAACATGATGGATTTGCTTCGCAAATGTTACTTCTCTAGTTTATAACCTGTTTTACGAATCTTTTTATCCCTTTATATTGTACAGTAATAGATTTATTATTAGGATTAAGAGGGACATGCAGTGATTAGGAGAGAGAGGGGGAGAGAGTCAAAGCATAAAAAAAAGATAAAGTAGAAATATACAATCAACTAGAGAAGTAACATTTGCAAAGCAAATCCATCATGTTTACCTCCTGACATGGTCTGCCCTGTTAATTCTTAAACACATTCTTATACATGTACTACTAGTATATAGTGAAAGGAGCAGAGCAGACCATGAAATTGCAACATTATGTAACCCAACACCAGTCACCATGGTGTCAGGCATCAACAAATCATGTCAATGTTTAGGTCACAGGTCACTGTTTGGAGAAGAAGAAGAAGAGGAAGAAACTGAGTAAAAACAATATGTTTCCTTCGGTAAGCATAATGAATACGTAAAAATGACAACTTCTCTTTGCTTTTTATATCAGATCAAAGATTTCGCAACGTTTTGGAAATTCGTCAGAGATCACGTCGTTTCAGATCTTCACGACGTGAGATGGTACAACGGAGACGGATTATACAGAGCGGGCTTCATGACTGATACAAGTTCCTTCCTCGTCGGACGTCCCCGGCTCCGCCAAATCCGAGTCCAGAAAGGTTTGTGCCACATATTATATACCTGACACATTTCTTCATTATTGGTCTTCATAGTGTGACGTACAAAAAATTATAGCAACAAGGATACTTGTAAGTTCGGAGTACAGAAGACAGGCTGAAATCAATTTTGTGTTACATTTACTTTCTTTGTATTTTTTTTTCATGGGCTCCCTTTAAAATCAGCCGATTGAAGGTACCACCTATGTATCCCGAAGATCTATAAAATAGAATAAAAATACAAAAAATTAACATATAAGATATACACATTTCAGATATTGATATTTTCAACACTTTATTGAGAAAGTCTTGATAACAGAGATCGTTTTAGTGTGACGGTTTTAGCTATGAGTCACCTGGCAGAAGTTTGACGTTTCAAACAAAAGGCTCCTGAAATCAATATCACCTATAATATTAGTAAAACGCTGTCAATGTGACGTTGAGTGACTTGTTTACTTCCAGACGAAAGCTGTGATGTCCCCGCACCTTTGTGGAGGATGCTGACTGACTGTGATCAGCCTTACAGCCTGCTGAATACTGACGTCAACAGTTATGACGTCGGCTGGACACGTCTGGACAACGTGACCTTTGACGCACTGACCAGCTTGGACAACATTTCCCACTACCAGAGGCCGTGGATCTACCAGTATGCATCATTGAGTGGTAAGAACTGGATTCATCTATCATTCTGTCATCGCCAACTACAGGGCCTAGTTCACTGTCAACTGAATCTTGACTTTACTAGTTCAGTTTGTACTGAAGCTAGATGTTTATAATTAGTATTAGTTCAGTGCACTAAATGCACTAAAACTAGGAGTTACTGGTTCAGTGTGCACTGAAGTTAGGTGTTACTGGTTCACTGTGCACTGAAGGTAGGTGTTACTGGTTCACTGTGTATGAAGCTAGGTGTTACTGGTTCACTGTGCCCTGAAGCTAGATGTTACTGTGTAACAGGCCAATTACTGCATTAGACAGTCTGGGGTCACGTGGTGAGAGCACGTGACCCAGACACGTCATTGGTCAAAGCCTGACCCCGCCTCCGCCATGCAAATGTCGCCCCGCCCTTCTGCGCGCACTATAAAATAGCGGGACGCGCCCTAGACCTGGGTTCTTCGCCTCTCTGAAGCTCCGTTCCAGCACACCGGTTTAGGTTAGTAGTAGTTTATGTAGTTGTCTTTGTCTTACTTTGGTATTTGTGTGTAACTTTGTAACTGTTCCGTTGTATAACTTTGTATTTGTAGTTCCATTCTATGTTGCAATACTTTGTATTCTATACCGCAGTTAGTCAATAAAGTTACATCAAATATAAATCGACCTGGCTTTGGTGTTACTTAGAGTGAGAGTCTAGTAACTTGTGCCTTAGAGTGAGAGTCTAAGGATTGTAACCGTAATCGTAACTGTAATCGTAACTGTAATCGTAACTGTAGACCAAATCCTACCCACGCAGAAAGACCGTTTGTTACATGGTTCCCACACGGAATTATATTTGCGCTGTGACCTTTGCCTACTGCGGTATATAGAATTGTAATTTTCATAGACTCCGTTTTGTACTTGTACTTTTTTGTCCTGGTGTAAACGAATGGTACTTTGAAGCTGTGTTGTTGCACCTGGCCTTTGTAAATTTGTCCCCTTGCCCGGCCCGAGCTTGCTGGAAAAGTTATATCTGATCCACATCTGACCGAAATTTAGCTTGGTTCTCTGGAAAACTTTTTGTCGCCTGTGTTTCGACCCTAGACTGAGCGTCACCACGTGTCGCAAATTCAAACTACCTTTTTCGTTCTGTTCCGATTAATTGCTACTTTGCTCCTTTCGCTGTGTGTTGTGATTCCCCAGCACCGCCTATAATTTTATCTGTGCTGTTATTTTGGCCCGCAGAACCTTGATTTTTTTTTCTATTCT